TTCAGTCAGGTGTTTATGGGATTTTGTTATTTTCTGTTTCTTCTAAATACTGTTGTATTTTTGTTTAGATAACAGAATATGACTTCCAATACAGAATTTAAGATAACTTCATGGAATGTACGTGGGCTCAATAATTTATCGAAACTTAAAGGTGGGGTAGGTAAGTTTGAGATTTCAGAAGTTGCGTGTATTTCAGAAGTTACGTCGCCGCCTTAGACCATGTGTTTGGATGCTCGACCGAGCTACCGAGTGGTGGAATGTGATTGTTCCATCTTTCACAGACACTCAGTGGGTGGAGAACTTCAGGATGTCTGAGGAAACCTACGTCTACCAGGGGTAGCAGTGGCACAAGGTACAGAGGAGGGCAGGGACATACGAGAGGGTCTGATGTGCTACCTGAATACCTAGAATGTATAATGTAATACCTAAATATTCATTGTATTGTATTGAACATAAATACATCTTTTCTTTTTCACATACATGTGTTTGTCAAATTATTTAAACCAAAAAAATGTTATCAGAATTGACTATTTAGTAAATATTTGAATTTCAAGCACCAGTACTGCCCCCATAATAATAATAATCTAATAAATTAAGCAAATATCAAAGCAAACTATAAACATAAATACAAAAGTGTAAAACACAACAGAACTATATTCATAAATGCAAGTGTAAAAAATTGTTAACATGGATGGAGGCTAAAGTATCCACAGCATAAAATAATATGATTATGATGGTTTGTCTGAAAGACACAGGCTCAAGGTTCAAGGTTTTTTATTTTGTCATACGAACATAGCTACAGTGTAGTTATGACAATGAACATCTTAGGTCACAGGCTCCTCCAACAGTGCAACACAATAACCCAGATCAACAGAAATATAGTGCAAGTAAATATTAAGCGCTGTGCACCGCTCTCTTTGTATAGGTGTTTTCTTTTGTTCTCTTCTCTTTGAAATATATAAGCAATGTGTTTGAGTCTAGCACAACGAGGGTATTACAATTGAGTAATTTTTACTACATGTATTTATCATGTATTCTTAATACCATTACAAAATATGTAATGTTATGTTTTAGAGGAGGACCTCAAGCTAGCAAACTCAATTTCAAACAGTATGCAGAGTTGTCCTGCTAAAGAGTTAAAATGTATTATTTAACCAAGTATTTATTCTCTTATTTGCTTTAATTGCAACAGATGATAAAGGTTTCACTGTGCAGTGCTTTGTGGACGATGATGGTGTTTATGATATTTCTGACTGCAGAGGGACGCCTAGATGATGCCATCTTTCTGTGTGATCGCTGTTGGGTGCAATTATTTATCAACAAGCAATAAGATAAGTCAAAGTACTTTATTTAACACAATTTGGGAAGTGTTTTCTTGCAGCAGCATAAAAAAGGCATGGCATAAACTTACAAATAAAAAATAAGAAATGTTGGTTGCAGCGCAGCAGCATAAAAAAGGCATGGCATTGTACAATACAAATAAAGAAAAATGTTTGTATTGCAGCAGCATAAAAAGACATGGCACGCAGCGGTGTCGAGCTGGCACTCGGCGTTGGTGTCTGTGCTCGTGTTGGTGTCTGTGCTCGTGTTGGTGTCTGTGTTGGTGTCTGTGGTCGAGCTGGAGTTTGTGCTGTTGATGTGGAGGATGTCGATGCAGAGGACGTTGTTCGGAACTGTTCCTCCTCGCTAGTCCCAATGTAATCATCTAGAACAGAAACATGACTTGTAAATTCCACAAACTACTGCAGCACAATACTATAAATAGCAACAACAACTATAGAAAAGACAAACTGAACATAAACAATGGCACATATGGTGTTAGCAAACAATAGCTCTAGCTAATGCTATCTGCCTTAGCTAGCTATGTAGCTCTTCGGGGCTCCATAAAAGCATGGGTTGTAGAATATAAATGTAAGGATAAAATAGACTTGTTTGTTAGAAGTGAGCTTTAGAATAGATAGGGACACAAAGGTTTCAAGCAAATAACAGAGCGTTAGCAAAAACTTACCATGCAGGGACTCCAGTAACGCGGTTGCAGAGTCCAGGCCTCCCTCCCTCCCAACGCTAGCCGGTCTATGGCCGTAAATGCTGTCCATTAGGTCAAACCATTTCCAGTTTTTCCTACTGGCACCACTCGTGTTGTTATTGTCCTTTACCAAGCGATATTCACTCTTCATCTTTTTGAGTTTTTCCCTACACTGCACGACAGTCCTTGAGTAACCGCTTGTGGACATCAGTGTAGAGACCTCCTGAAATACTTTAATATTTCGAGTTGTCCCGTCGAGCTCCCGCTGGATCTTATCATCTGCAATATAATGGAGGAACGTCGTCACTTCCTCGACCGACCATGGTGTGCTTTTCTTCGCCATTGTTGGAGCTCCTCTGTTAACAAAAATGCTGTTTGTAAAAATGCTGCAAGCATCGCTATATATATGCGACGCTAGGGATTATCTTGCGCGCCGATTGTGACGATTCTCTCCGACCAATCAGCAGCCGAGAGTGTTGACGTCACACACTCAGCCCGGTTGTCTCTGGCCCTAGAACCACTATTTTATGAGGCCAGAAAAACTGTGAATTAGGACCCGCCAGCCGGTACTAGGCCAAGTGGAAACGCAACCAAAAACGGGCCGCTGACGTCACAGCCCTCTTAAACCGTGCTCCGCGCTGTAGTGGAAACGTGCCATTACGGTGTTTAAAAGTAATAACAAAGAGCATCTTAAGTGGTTGAGGGTCAGGGTCATTTGGGGTAAAGACCGACGCGGAGTCCGGACTGAAGTGCTTCAAGCAGTTACTGTTAAAAAATAACTTTGATGAGCCCCAGAGCAGAGTCCTGCACCGGGTCGAGTTTCCTCGGATACCCGGCGGATAACCCGCAAAATAGTTGTGTAACGGGCAAAACATACATGTAGGCCTCTATCTAACCACGGGTGCGGGGACAGGTAAAAAAAAAAAACGTAATGCGGGCGAGCAGCGGGTGGGAACAAAAATATATTGTGGTTTTTCTCTGGAGAAATCAGAAATAAAAATGAAGATTCATTCATTCATTCATTCAAATCATTATTATTAATAACTTACAGCAACATCGCATGCAATAGTCCACCTCCTCTCTCTCTCAAACACACACAGCAGTGCTCCTATGTAACCGACAGTCCAAAAGTCAAGATTTAATGAAAAAAGATAGATGTAATCCTTTCCAAAATTCACAACGGGTCGGGTCGTGGGTCTTATATCAACAGGTCGGGTCCAGATTTGACTTGAAGATAATTGCGTGTAACGGGTCGGTTCGTGGTACTGAGCTGCGAGGGTTCGGGTGGGTGCGGATTTGCAAAACTGGACCCATGCAGGACTCTGCCCCAGAGGCTTTTAAGTTGAAGCTTAACCCTTGTGCAACCCTTTTAAAAACGTTACTCTGAAAACACTAACGACAAAAATGTCCGCATCTAAAAATACTGTAATAAAGATATATGTTAATATATTTTTTCCACTTTCAATTACTTACATCTTTTAACCCAATTCAGTCCTGATCATAATTCTCAAATGTTCATTCATTTTTATTTTTGTCGCTAGGGATCTGAAAGTCACTATTTTGATTACACATACACTTAAGAAAATGTTTCAAAAAAACTCACATCTTTACCAAATGTCGTGCCATATTCTTAAACACAATCAGAATGCTCGCAAAATTAAACAGTGACATGGACAATACAGTTCCTTAGAATCGGTCACATGACCTGGAAGGTATTGAAGAAATAAGCTCATTTGTCCATCAAAAATATTAATATAAAAATATTTAGAGTATTAAAATGCAATAAAAAGAGGTTTGTCCTATGCAGCCAGTGTAGTTATTTGATTCATAGCTGATTTTTAGTTATTAGGTCACATGACCTGGAAGGTATTGAAGCAATATGCTAATTTCCCCATACAAATATTAATATAAAAATATTTAGAGGGTGAAAATGCAATAAAAAGAGGTGTGTCCTATGCATCAAGTGTAGTTATTTGATTCATAGCTGATTTTGAGTGATTAGGTCACATGACCTGGAAGGTATTGAAGAAATAAGCTAATTTTTCCATCAAAATGTTAATATAAAAATATTTAGAGGGTGAAAATGCAATAAAAAGAGGTGTGTCCTATGCAGCAAGTTTAGTTATTTTATCCAGCACTGATTTTGAGTCATTAGGTCACATGATCTAGAAGTGATTGAAGAAATATGCAAATGTTTATAAAAAAAATATTAATAAAACGTATTTTAGGTATTAAAATGCAATAAAAAGAGGTGTGTTCAACAAATGTATGCTCTAGAGTGGACTTGCTTCACATTAACTCGATCGGGAAGCTGTCGATTTATTAAAAAGAACATTTTTCTTGTGTAATTGAAAAGTCATTTGTTGACGGTCCCTAAGTGAAAGCCTCGTTTTGCGGAGAAGATCTCCCCGTCGTAATCATCAGGGTTCATACACTTTTTCACGCGAATGTCTGTCGAATATCCAACCTAAAACTAACTTCACCGCGGTTGTCATTTCTCCTTGCTAGAGGACAGCATAACTAAAAAATGGCTCAACTTACCCCACTCTCCCCTAATTGCTTTATATATTACTTTAATTTTCTATATCCCCAAAATTAAAAAACAAATGTTATTTTTACCCAAATGCATTTATTTAAAAAAATACACGTACGTTTCTGTCTACTCTATACGATTTAGGAGTTCACGTTTTTTTAGCACGAGACAAAAGCTTCTCCGGTCTCAGCAGTTCACTGTATGTTCTGTCAGAGCGGCCGTAAACCATGGATGTATAATTAGAACCCGCCTTAAACAAACTCTCCCCTAGTCTCATGCCAAGGACCGACACTGGAGACATCGACAGCAGTCCGGGAGAAACTGCACGCTCAAGGAAGTTTCCTATCCTTAAAACCGTGTAGCGCGCATCCACCTGCTCACTCAGAAGGAACAAAGTTCCCTTCAGCGCTCACTGGCAGAATCAAAAGTATATTTTCTTACCGGGAGAGTGGGTAGAGACTGTTTCTCTGAGGGTTTGTAGTCCGGCAGACTCATCCTGACGTGTCCAGCTGCTAGCTGCTCTGCAGGTGGGAGGCAGGGGGCGTGGCCTAACCCGGATATAATGCTTTATTGCAGAGAAGATGAGTCACTCGGTAATCAAATCTTCGACTACTTTTATAGCCTTTTTCTGAGTCACGTTTGATTTTTGCAAATTAGACCTGGTGAACGCTACGCTATAAATGTGCCAGACTGATAACATTCACTCTCAACTCTTTTTACGCTGTGGGTGTTATTTTTAAGTTTGACCACTCGGTGGTAATTCAATGTTGTACGTTATGGTTTCACATGTATGGATGCTCTTAACTGTTGTTATAAACATACAGATGCTGTACTTAAAATATACACTAGAATGATTGCTTTTGCTGGTTGTACCCAAGAGGCAATACTTCATTTGATCTTTATAGACATTTGTGAAAATGGTCATTTTGATTCTCGATTTAGGGACAGAACAGTAGTTTCTATGGCCTACCAAAATCTAAGCAGTAACTAACCTTGAAGCTAAGCTGACATTGTGGCAAATTTCAAGTCATTCCTGAGAAATCCAACCGGATAAGATAAATAGAAATGTATGAATAATTATTTTCCTTGTGCGCTGCAAACGTCTTAAGGACAGAGGGGTTCCAGTGCTACAGTATGTCATGCCCCCTTAGACAATGTGTAACTTGTTATATATTGGGTTGCATGATCTGATCATGTAGACATTTTAAATTGTCTTTGATCATGACGATCAAATGACAATGCTTCTCTCCGGGGTCTACTGCACAGATTGAATGCCTTTTGAAAATAGTGAAAATGTGAACCAAAGTGGTTCAAAAAGGAGCTTATCCTAGCATTAAAAACATTTGAGGAACAGACAACTTTAGATGCGATTCACCAACACGTAGTAAAGTGACAAAACTATAAGTGTATTTCCAATATTTTATTGTTTTTGTACACAAAAAACAGATCTTGCTTCCATCTTGTAGAACACTCCAAAACCTGAAAAAGACATGATGCATAATGAATACATGAATAATGGTGCATTCATTTCTTCATGACTGTACAATGAAAAGTCAAGCCCTCTGATGATTGGGCCCAAAAGTACAACTCAATGTGAACAGGTTCAGCTTTTCATGGTAAAAACTGATTTTGTTGAGCTTAATTTATAATTTAGTTTCTTTTTAAACATGGATCCACCTTGCTCTGGTCAGTAGGCTATTTTAAGGCCATTATTTAGAGGCACTAGATTCACTTTTCCTAAATCATTTCAACCAGGTTTGTGTGCGCCTTCTCAGACAAATGCCTCGATGTCTTCACATGATAAAGACTCCCTGCTCTGAGGAACTGCAGCAGAACCACAGAACGTGACTCTGAAGCAGTAACCACCAGAACAGAAGAAGTCCTGCTCCGACTCGTCATCGTCTCATCACTGAAGGGTCAAGAACTGAGGATCATTCTTGTCTTTATTGCTAGTATACTGATTTTGCAAGGATATCTTCAAAATAAGTGGACACCCAATTATTCTCCCAACCTCTGAAGCCTGCAGTATGCTAACTGAACAAACCCTGCTTGGATAAAAGGCTCAGGTATGTGCTCACCCTCTCATGCAGTGGGTACAGGTGTTCCCTGGGGCATGGCGGGCGCCTCTGGCTTGGCCCCCTTCTGCTCTGACATGGGTGTGGTGGGCAGGTGCTCATCCTTGGGCTCCACAATGCTGACGTGGTCGGGCAGGGGCTTCTTGGGGCCGATCTTACCGCTGGGGTCCCAGGGCAGCATGATCTTGACCTTGATGCCAAGCACACCTGAGGATGAGAAGCACATCAATAAAGATTAGCACTAACAAACTAAGTCTACAAAGCACAGAGGACAAACCAAATGCCTTAATGAGATTAGGCACTTTCTTTGCCATTTCTTCCAGCATGATGCTTTGACCCTTCTCAGACAAATGCCTCGATGTCTTCACATGAAAAAGACCCCCTGCTCTGAGGAACTGCAGCAGAACCACAGAACGTGACTCTGAAGCAGTAACCACCAGAACAGAAGTCCTGCTCCGACTCGTCATCGTCTCATCACTGAAGTGGGGGGGGGGGGGGGGGGTCAACCAAGGTTCAAGCTTTGTACATGCACACATTTTATTCTCAAAAACATGCATGAGTCTAACAAACCATCAAAGGGTAATTTCCCTGTTGGTGATTAATAAAGTATATCTTCTCTGCCAAAGTTAATTTTGATTGTTTCAGTAACAATCGGGGTTCAAAATGGCAAATTGCAGGTCTCCCTTGAAAAAGAGATCTATGATCTCAATGGGACCATCTGGTTAAATAAAGGTTTGAAATATTTCCAAAGCGATCTAGTGAGTAAGTGCTTCTTTAGCATTGTGTTGGTGTCTGCTGGAGCGTTCCTCACCCTGCCTCAGCAGGACGTGGCGGACTGCTGTGTCCACGTAGTAGTTGACGGGGTCTCCGCTGTGGATCATCAGACCATCCACAAACTTCATGGACTTGGCCCTCTGACCCCTCAGCTTGCCAGACACCACAACCTCGCAGCCCTTAGCACCGCTCTCCATGATGAACCTCAGAACACCATAGCACGCCCTGAAGGGGGAGAACAAAGAACATGTCATTAAATGCTCTGTTTTCGCTGTCTACCTTTCTCTTTTTTGAGCACACCATTTGAAATGACTCCGACTGTTTCTCTCCTCTTGTCTCGCCTCTGTCTGTTTGAATCTATCGTGCTGACTCACTGACTGCACCGATTTGATTGGCTGAGTAGCGTCACCTCCTTAAAACATTAAACAACTTTTTAACATTTTCAACATCGTGGATAAATCCTTATATGCTCCCGGCAACACACTGAACATCAACTTTGCCTCATTACACTCACCCCTACTTTAGTGGGAACAATGAGTGCGTCTTTGATGCGGGGATGCAATGTAGACAGGAATAAACGCAGATCATCCTCTGGCTGCAGCCTTGACCAGTACTTGCTTTTGATCAGTAGGTGGAGGTGAAGGGAATGAGCACTTTTACAACCTTTTTGGCGAGGTGGGGGAACTCGGTCTCCACAAACAGCCAAAAGTGTGCAAGTGACACACGCTTTCTGCCAGACGCTGTCTCCTCTCTCACTTTAGGTAACTTCACTAAAAGTCGATCTATGTTGCCGCTCGCAGTTAGCTGAAGTTAACTAGCTAGATTTCACCGTTTCCCGTAATTTTTTTCTCACGCTGCGCCCCCCCTGAAGCTCTCTGGTGACCACCCCCCCGGGGAGGCGCGCCTCACACTTTGAAAACCGCTGATCTATACTAAACAATTGTAACCAGTTTTACCACTATGTTATGTTCAGCAGGTAACTGACGCTTTGACCCTTCTCAGACAAATGCCTCGATGTCTTCACTTGATAAAGACCCCCTGCTCTGAGGAACTGCAGCAGAACCACAGAACGTGACTCTGAAGCAGTAACCACCAGAACAGAGTGAGCCCTGCTCCGACTCGTCATCGTCTCATCACTGAAGGACAAAAACTGACCCTGAACAAACAAGCTTCTGACGGATGAACCCGTTGATGCCATTACGTCACTTCAATAGAAATGCATCATATTTGCAGCTTGTGATGATCATATCGGTTTCTACCCTTGTTCTTGTCAGTCGTGTTTTTTATTATTATGTTGATCTCATTAGTTTTCCTTATTCAATTTAAACAAAAAAGTGTGTTCATGTCTGCATATGTTTTTGTAAAATTGTGGACAGCAACCATTATTTGTTTAATTTGTACCACTATCCCCAGCAGATGTTTTCAGAATAGAGAAGGTAGACATGTTGAAAAGTTATGGAAGAGACGGCACTTGTTACCTGCGGACAGCCAGGCCTCCCAGCAGCTTGTAGCGCAGAGACTCTGCCTGGGCGATGGCGCACAGCCCACGGGTGGCAACCTTCTCAGCATACAGCTAACAGGTGGAGAGAGGCACAGGTTAAAGGTCAGACATCCTGACAATATAAAACTGCAGGTAAGGGCCTAAATAGCTCTTGGACCCATAGACGAATGAGTACCAGTGTTTTAATTTCATTTAAAAACAGACATGAATTCACTATGTTTTTCAGACTTGATAGCATCCTTCGCTCAAAAATACAAAATCTTAACACTACTGTGAGAGATTATACACTTTCTTAGCAATTTCTTGTAAATACAATTCCAGCCGGATGCTTTGACCCTTCTCAGACAAATGCCTCGATGTCTTCACTTGAAAAAGACTCCCTGCTCTGAGGAACTGCAGCAGAACCACAGAACGTGACTCTGAAGCAGTAACCACCAGAACAGATGAAGTCCTGCTCCGACTCGTCATCGTCTCATCACTGAAGGGGGGTCAACCAAGGTTCTCAAGCCTTGTACATGCATACATTTTATTCTCCAAAAATATGCATGAGTCTCAATATTTAATTACATTAACTATCAATTGTAGAAGTGTTTAGTTAGACATGTTGGATTGCTCAGCAAAAATAGGCTAATGGAATCCAGTTCAGTGTGGGCTGACTCTGGGCTCCACTCTGTCAGTGTTAAAAGTAAGGGGTTTAGCAGAAAAGTAAACATTTTATTTTTGCTAGCCACAAGTTTGCTGCATGTACTGATTTGATGCAATAAATCATTGACTGCATTATGAATATATTTTCCTTTACTAAACCATATAATACTTTTGTCACCACAAAAGCCTGTTACCTTAGTGTAATTATGTGCAATACTCACATTTTGTTATGTAATATTGTCATTACTGGCTGTATTTTGCACTACTAAAAACTGTAACATTATTTGTAAAACAGCGCAATATATACTTTTTACCATTTACTACTGGCTGCTAGTTTTCTTTAATTAGTGCTTTTTAACCTGAATGTGTACTTATTAATTTGTTTTAAGTATGTACTCTTATTTTGTCTTTATCCGCACTGTCCCTCTTTGCAGTTAACATTGTACATTACTGCAGTGTGGGACAAATAAAGGATTTCTGTTCGTCATTAAGCCTTCTGTGTTTAAATATTTGAGTGGGCACTTGACT